ATTGTGTACACGTGCGCGTGACACAACTCCGCATGTTTTAAAAAATATAATTTATAACACGAATATACGTACGCGTGATTCGATTCAAAGAAGGGTCTTTAAATCTAAATAGAAGCGGTAACAATAAAATCATGCAATAAAAATGTATTTAACAAATCAAAATAATCAAGCCGAATATAACAGTTGAGCGACCGTGCTAGAACCACGGAACTCGGGAATGCCTAACACCTTCTCCCGGGTTAACAGAATTCCTTATCTGGATTTCTGGTGCACAGACTGTTAAATAGACAGAGTCATATTCTTTTCCTCGATTCGGGATTAAAATAGGTGACTTGGGACACCCTAAATCTCCCAAGTGGCGACTCTGAAATAAAGAAATAAATCCCGTTTCGACTGTACTTTATTTGGAAAAAACTCCCTTGCACCCTCGCGGGGGCGGAAAAAGGAGGTGTGACAATTAGTATTTGGTATTAGCATGCTGGTTATAAAACTTACCCTTGGTAATACAAATAAACTCATCTTTTATTTTATTCTTAATTGTTGTTCTTGTATAGTATTAAAGTTTTCAAATAATTATTCGCATGATTTCAAACATATTTTTTTCATTTATGCCATATAACTTCAAAGTTTGAATTTGTGCTTTTGTGATGGCAATAATGAATCTCCTAATCCGAGAAATAGTTGAAATTGAGAAACATTATGATCTCAACAGGTAGAATCAATAAAGCTTTGCTAGAACTTTCCCCAAATGTTTATCAAGGCGAAATTATAGACAATATTGAGTTTTAAATGAAATTAGGCTTTTCTTGATTCACTTTTTAGCCTCTCTGTTTTACCACTACACTCACACACACACACACACACACACACACACACACACATATATATATATATATATATATATTCCTTTAGCACCCAACTTTGAGACTTATTAAAAAAACAAGAAAGGATAAACCAACTCTTCTTGATACACCATATTGGTTTAACCAAAGAGAAAAAAAATTCTTCCAGCTATAATTGAGCAGAAATGGCTATTTAATCAAGGGATGAAGGAATACTTTTGGAGTAAAGTTTGTATTCAGAGAAAGGTGGATTGGTTTGTATATAAATTTAAAAAAAATGATATGAATATCCTTCTCAAAAAATGATGTGAATATACTTATGGAATAAATTCTTGGTGTAAGAAGTTAGAACTTATGGAGAATATTTCTGTTGAAAGGAATGCTGACTTAATTGGTGTTAATCATGGAACTGAAGACATCTCTAGAGTTTATGTTCTTTGTATTAAGTTGTACTAGTTCCTTTGGTAAAATAATTGGCTCACATTATAAAGCTGGAAGGAATACAGTCACTATAAATATTTCATTTACCCTTACCGCACTAAGCCTAACAATAAAAGCCTGAAAAAGTCATAAAAAGATCTTAAAAATCAATGTTGATTCTATATTAGTGGAGACTGACATGAAGGGCAAGCTTATGAACAAAGTTTGAGAAACTCAAAGATTGTGATCATAATGTTATCAATCTCAAAAAAATTCATCAAAAGGAGGAGAAAAAGTTTTTGTCAAACAAAAGCAGAGAAACACGGTAAAGATTTGGTGACTTGAAAAACTTATAGGTTTTGAATGTTACGTGAATTTTTATTTTATTACTTTTCTAGTCTACAAGAAAAAATAATTACTAATAAAATAATTCTCCTCGAGGACGAGCAATGATTCAAGTATGGGGGAGTTTGATGAATATAAAATATTCATATATTATATACTTAAAAATATACTATTTTAAATAAAGTATTTATATAATATTTCGATTCTCTGTATTTTCTAACAATATTTTGCAGGAGATAAGAATGCTATTAATTAAGCAAGAAAATGAAAGAATCAAGAAGCTCGTAACGGATTCACTCCATAATGCAAGAAGATCACGACGCATCTTCTTCATGACGTATCTTCCTCGAGATACATCTTCCTCAAGACATATTCTCCTCAAGATGCATCTTCCTCACTTGAGATCACAACACTTCAAGAAGAAATGCACGTCTATAAATAGAAGGCAATTCTCTGTGTAGTAGACATCGAGGAAAAAGAAACAAAAGAGCCACTTTATTTTCTAAAGCTTTGGTCACTTATTATTTCTTGTTCTTCTTTCATTACTTATAATTTTCAGATTTCCTAGAAGTATTGGCAATATAGGCCATATTATAGAAGTCCTTTCTTTTTCAAATACTCGATAATGGAGTAGTGTCTTTCTGTTAGGATAGTTGATGAAGATATATATATATATAT